GTGCAGAGACAGCAGGACTGCGTCTGAAGCACCCACCACCGAAGCGCTGGTGTCAAGCACAGCCCTGGCCCCTGGCCCAGCCCTTGGCAAGCATTTCGGTCAGCATTTCTGTCTGAGTGGTGGACTGACCTAGCGGCAGTGGTCCTCTGCCATCTTGGGATGGGAAACAAAGGCTCAGGAGCTGCACAGAGACTTGGAGGAGACTCATTTTACAGATAAGGAAAACTGAGGCCCAGCAAGGGCAGTGATGCACACTGGGCTGGGCTGGGACTGGAACTCAGGGGTCTTGACTTCCAGTCTCGGGTTCCTTTAAGAACTCCTTCTATCCTGCTGTCTGATGACAGGTGTGTGCCAGGTGCAGGGGTGAGGAGGAGGCCTGGCAGGGGGCATGAGGGTACGGACGTCTAAGCGCTCTGGGGCCTCATCAACCTGAGGCTGTGGATAAAGAGGCTGTTCACAATAAACTCAGGGCAATGAGGCCACCGAAATTCCAACTGCATGGGCTCCCCATGGCTGGGGACCCTCTGGAGTTTCGGGTAGTCGATAGGGGGCCTTGCACACGCTAGTTCCTCTGTAAGCAATGCCCCTTCTCAGCACCCCTGGCCTGGTTAATGCCCGGCCCCCTCTAAGAAACCTCTTGGGGCCCAGGTCTGGGTGAGGTGCCCCCTCCTCTGGGCTCCCCCACCTTGGAGGCCCCAGAGCCCGTACTGCCCAGCACAAAGCTGGGACTTGGGGAACGTCTGCTGAGTCACAGGATGATCTTTGAGTCATTGGGTCTGTGTAGGAAGCTTGGATTAGACCCCATCTCCTGCCAAGGTCAAGGCCCAGCGCCAAGGTTAAGGCCCAGTGAGGGCACTGCGGGGCACTCCTTCTGCACCTGCTCCTCATTCTCCTCCCATCCCTGTAGATGCCAAGCTGACATCTCCAGATTTGCCTCCTTCCTACCCCAGCTGACTCTAGAACCATCCTCCCAGCAATCTGGCTCCGAAAGCCTGTGTTGTGGCCATTCACAAAGATCTCTCAGAAATCCTCCCCTAGGACTCCAGGCTGTGAGAGTTTTAAAAAAAGCAGAGTTTATCACCGAATTTTCCTTTTAATGGTTTAACAGTGACATGTAATGCTTTTGTTTCCCGAGAGAAAAGGCGGGTTTCAGATGAATTATTAACCAATAAGAATTGGCCGTGAGCAAGACATCCTCCATTTACTCTGGAGAGAAATGCAGATGGACAGCTGGCTTGCACAAGGCTATCTCTTACAGCCCCCAGCAGACGTCAGGGGGGGAGCAGAGAGGGTCACTTTGCTCTCCCACACCGGGGTGTAACTTCTGCTGCCACCTTCTCGCTCCGCCAAGGGTTGAGGCCTCCCTCCCCACTCAGGCCTCCTTCCAGGCCGGGTCTGGGAGCCCTGGCCTCTATTTCTGCCTCCGCTTGACTGAGGGAGCAGAGCCCCCTCAGGTCACTGAATATGTGTTCCCGGGTGCTAGGACGCCCTCTCTGGATTATGAGGGTTTTGAGGGCAGAGGGCTGGGTCCTGGACCAGAGGAGGATGCTGATCATGGTGCTGGGGCAGAAGAGGGACTGGGCGGCAGTCTCCATTTACCACCCCCATCCACCCTGTGCCCTACAACTCATTGCATCTCCTGGGCTCCGTTTCTTGGGTTTGGCCAGTGGGAGGCACCTGCGGGAGACCAGAAGGCAGGGAGTGAGGTTGGGGCGTTTCCTCCCTCTTCCTTCCTGTTTTGGGGCTGCATCTCTGGCAGTTCCAACCACAGCTCCTGCTGAGCGGCCCTCCTGTGAAGCTCTCTAGGTTCTGATGGCACTACTTCTTCCCTTGCCTGTTGTCCTGGGGTGCTGACCACTCTCACTGCTGCTAGAGCTCCCGAAGCCTTCACAGGCTTCATTTGCTCCTTGCACCTGCCCACATCCCTGAAAGGAGCCCTGCCCACACCCCTGCTGGGAGCCCCGCCCACACCCCCTGGAGGGAGCCCAGCCCACAGCCCTGCAGGGTGCTCCGCCCACACCCCCTGGAAAAGAGCTCCACTCATGCCTCTGGAAAGAATCCCCACCCACACTCCAGGAAGGGATCAACCGAGCCATCTGGGGTGAGTTCTATTTCTTTCCAGGACAGACCTAGGAACCATGAGCTCAGAGCCTGTGGAAGGGGACAAAGGGCAGACAGGAGGCCCCTGCGGCTGCTCTGAAGGGAGGCGAGGGTGGCTCCACCACACTCCTTCCTGGGAGACCCCCAGCCCCACTGAAACAAAGCCCGCACGCCACAGCTGGGGACACTGCTGCAGTGGGATATTAGTGTGAGTTTGCTCTGCTGGTATGTCCCCTTGCCCTCCTGCTGTTGAAGCAGGCAGCAGGCTTCTTCAGGAGAGGTTTGGGGCAGAGGGAGGCAGAAGTGACTTTGTGTGTCTTTTGGAAGAGCCTGAGCTTATCAAAAAGATGATGCTGCCTGTCTCTGAGGGAAAGGAGGGGGATCCTTGTCGGGGGACTCATGCCCTACTCTCTGGCAGTGCCCCACGCAGACCTTGCACACTCTTCCTCAAAAACCTTCAATAGCTCCCAGTGCCTACTGAGGCAAGCTGCTCAGCCTGGCGACCAAGGCCCCCCGTCAGGCTCACGGATCTCTTCAGCTTCATCTCTCACATCCCAGAGGCTTCCTGGTGCCCTGGTGCCTTTGCTCACACAGGTGCCTTTGCCTGGAGTGCTTCCCCTGCTCTGCTTCCTAAAACCCCCCTCTCATCTCAGCGGGCTCTCAGCTCAAATGCTGGATCATCTGGGTCAGAGTTAGCGTGACTCCTCCGGGCACCCACAGCAGGCTGCCCACCAACCTCCCGTGGCCTCATCGCCACCCGCCTTGAAACCTAGTCATTCACATATCAACCCCATCACCCTGCAGTCTTACCTGTCTCTATACCCAAAGAGCCTGGCACACAGTAGGCACCCCAAAACACGTGGGAATGGGATTGGCCATGTCCCTTGGGAGTCTCCAATGCCAGGCCTCCCCCTGAATTACAGGGTCTTGGAGCCTTGGGACCTGTCCGTCTCTGTCCTTCTGGTCTCAGAGGAGCACAGACATACCCCACCACAGCCCCAGAGCCCCCTCTTCCGGGCCCCCCTGAGGAAGCAGACAGGAATAGCAAGGCCTGTTCTCAGCCCAATTCTAGTAATCCAGAGCTGGGGTTGGGGCTGGGCTTTGGAGGCACGTGGTCTGGGTTCAAATTCTGATGCCATTGCTCCCTGGTTGTGCCATCCTGGGCAGTTCCCTTGCCCCCTCTGAACCTCAGCTTCCTCATCTGTGGAATGGAGCTGACTGGGAAGAGAGGCGGGGAAGATGAACTGGGAGAATGTTGGTGGGGCGACGAGGCCTGTGCTTGGCTGAGGAAACACTGGACTACGGTTACTCCCTTGTTATTTACCTATTTATCATTTTTGGGGAAAATGCCTTGCAGCCTGAGCGTTGAAAGCAGAAGGGGCTCTTGTCTGGGAGCTGTGACCCCTGGACGCTGCCCCTCCGGTGGCCTCTTCTGCCCTGTCACCAGGATGCCCCCAGGCTGTTGGGCGACGTGGCCCTTCACCCCGTGTGCCTGACTGTGTGCACGTTTTAACACTTTTAACTTGATATTTTACTCTTTCTGCTTGTGAATTATTAAAGCGAAATCACATAGAACAACCGATTAAAGGGGGAAAGCTAAATATTTTAGGTGTTACGATTGTTCTTAATGTAGATCCTCTAACTTTGGGCCTTAGGGAATTTTTAAAACTGTCCTTAGAAATATATTAACAATGCCCATGACCTTTTGGTGTTTGGGGACATTTTTGTTTGCCTCTTGACTCTGTCTTCCCCTTCACCCTGTCCCTGTGAGCCAGGGAGGCCACCGTTTGGAGGCTGCGAAGACTGGAAACCAAGGGGCCTAGCCAGAGTGGCTGTGTTGCAACTCCAGGGGGCGCCATTCGCACCGTGGCCTGCTCTGCCCTGCTTAGGGCCGGGACACAGCCTAAGCCTCCTCAGGCCCAACAACAGCCACACAGTGCCGCAGACCCCGGCTCAACAAGGGCATGGTGGCTGGTAACCTTTTTCAAAAGGCAAAGTGAGACGGTAGTTACAGAAATGACCGTGAGTGTCACTGTAAGTTTGCTGTTTGGACCACTCTGGACCCCCCTGGAACACACCCATGTGTCCTTCAGAGACAGCGCAGGTGTCACGTTCACTGAGAACCTTCTCTAAGGCATCTCAGCCTCTCTTCTCCCAAGAGAGCCTCGCTCCCTCCTCTGTCATCCTTCCTCTATCTGCAACTGTGGAAACAACAGAAGCTGGTACAGCACTTGGTGAGCACTTACTGTGTACCAGGCACTGCAGAGCATACATATTGTGCCTATTTATCTCCCCACTCCTCAGAACACTGTGAGGTTGTTATTCTTTTCCCTCGTGTTACAGATACAGGGAAACTGAGGGCCGGAGAGGTAAAGTGATTTCCTCCTGGTCACACAGCTTGAACTGGAGTCTGAATTTAGATGACTCCAAAACCCAGTTCCCACTCCAAACCAGCATGGCGCCTCCCTCCTGTGCCTCCCTACCCTGGAGGGATTATTTCCATACTCCCAGGCCTTGAGCAAACTCCTGATGGCAGGGCCTGCGACTTACGGGTAGGGTCACCTTATACTGCACCAAGCCTGGCATATCATTGGTGCTCATCGTATGCTTGCTGAACTGAGCTCCCTAAAAATGACAGGGGCATAACGTCTGAGATCAACTTTAAAATCTTTCAGCATAGACAAAGATAAAAGAAAAAGGAAAGAGATGTAGCCAGTCTTAGCCAAATTTTGATAAACTGCTGAATCAGGGTAAAGGTAGAGGAGTGTTCACTGTACATTCTTTCTGCTTCTTACATGCTTAACAATTTTTATAATTAAAAAAACAACTTGATGGGGGTGGGTAGAGAGGCCCCAAGCCCAGCTGGCTCTCCTCAGGGCTCAGAGCCGGTGGGCACTCACCTTTTGATGGCTTTGTAGCAAATGATGGCAAGCACAGTGAGAAAGACCAGGGAGGCACAGCATACCGCGATGATGATCACCAGCCCCGACCACCAGCTCTCCTCAGCGGGGCACGAGGTAGAGTTGGGAGCTGAAAAAGACAGGAACGGCCTGAGTCTCCCCTGGATGGGTAGATCCAGCCGGTGTCAGAGATGGACCATCATGGCTGACACCAAGGGTGGCCTCTCCGCCATCCATCGTCCAGATAAAGGCTCTCTGACCTGTCCTGCTGTCCCTACCCCCACCCTGGCAGCAGGTGACATCATGGCTGGCCCCCAGCCAGGCGGCGAGCTCTGAGCAGGGGTTAAGTGCTGCGCCCGGGGCCATCCATCCTCCCTTGGCATGAGCTAACTGACAGCGGGGTCAGGTTTAATTTCTCATGAAAAATAACAGAACCTCTCACTCTCTCAGATCTGAGGCATTAGATCTGCTTCCCCTGAAGGCGGGGGTGGGGAGCAGGGCTCACGGGCACACTGGGGCAGGAAAGAGAGAAAGGCAGGCGCATCAGTGTCAGTTCTCGAGCTAATTTCTTGCGAGGGGCAAGCTGTCTCCCTTCTTGGATTTGGTCCATGGTGGGTACCTGCAGCCACCTCAGTTTGCACGGGGTGGCCAAAATTTGGAAAGGTCTGTCATTGACAAAGCATCTGACACTGGGTGCCACAGGGTCCCCTTATTGTGACTCAATCCACGGGGTCCTTAGGGTGAACCTCTCCTCCCCTTTGGCACGGGCTGTGTGGGGGGACCTGAAGCACAGGTGTAGCTCACAGCAAAGCCAGTTCATCCTTCCCCGAGAAAAGCAGAGACATTAAGCAGCCTCAGCCCGGAGGCTCTGGGGAGACCCTGACACAACTGGAAAGAAGTGCTGGGAATTCCAAAAGGAATGGGAGAGGAGAGAGGGAGGGAGGGAAAGAGAGAGGGAAAAAGGGAAAGGAAGAGGGAGGGGAAGAGAGAGAGATGGTGGTTAGGATGGAGGGAAGGAGGGAGAGAGGGATGGATGGATGGATGGACGGACGGATAGACAGACAGATACTACTAGCTTTGGGCAGGTCTTCAAGACATGTGAATATGTACAAAAGAATCAAAACTGTGCCCCAGATTCTGTGTCCGCTTAATAATAGGCACCTTGAGGGGTGCAACAGTATGTAGAGAATAAATGGATGATTTCCCAAAGGACATCATGGATGCTTCATCATCATTATTATTTTTTTTGTGAGGAAGATCAGCCCTGAGCTAACATCCATGCTAATCCTCCTCTTTTTGCTGAGGAAGACTGGCCCTGAGCTAACATCTATTGCCAATCCTCCTCCGTTTTTCCCCCAAAGCCCCAGTAGATAGTTGTATGTCATAGTTGCACATCCTTCTAGTTGCTGTATGTGGGACACGGCCTCAGCATGGCCGGACAAGTGGTGCGTCGGTGCGCGCCCGGGATCCGAACCCGGGCCGCCAGTAGCGGAGCGCGCACACTTAACCACTAAGCCACGGGGCCGGCCCCGCTTCATCATTATTATTGTTGTTATAGTTGTTATAATCATCAAGGTGTAATTTACATATAGTGAAATGCACCATCTTAAATGTACTGTCTGATCAACTTTGACAAATGTGTACCCCAGTGTAAGCCACACCTCTACCATGACATAGACTATTTCCATCACCCCAGAAAGTTCCCCTGTGCCTGCTTCTAGTCAGTCCCCACCCTGCAGGCAACTACCATTCTCCTTTCTAAAATCATAGATTAGATTTGCTTGTCCTTGAAATTCATATAAATGGAATCATGCAGTGTGTATTTTTTTTTTTGCTTCCTTTATTTAGCAAAGTGTTTTTGAGATTCATCCACGTTGTTGCATACTTCAGTGGTTCCTTCCTTATTACTGCTGAGTGATATTCCCTTCTATGAACACATCACAATTTGTTCATCCATTCACCTGTTGTTGGACACCTAGGCTGTTTCCAGGTTTTGACCCATTCGTTCTACATTAGAAAGGACCAGTGAAGGCTGGAGCTGGAGGAAGCCTAGGAGGGGTCATTTCAGAAAAGAGAATCAATACTGAGGTTCAGGATCAAGAACAGCTTTCCCAGGGCCACGGTTGGGACCTGATCTTTGGGCTGCAGGCCAGATCTGCCCCTGCCTGCACTTCCTTCCCACTGGGCCCGGCCAGGACTTCTTTCCAGATGTGATAGGACAGCTTACCACGTGGGCTGACTGATGCTTCATATTCGAGAAGACAGCATCATGAAGGTGCTCATTCACTCATTCATTCATTCATTCATTCGTTCATTCATCCACAAACATTTAATGAGCATCCTCTGTGCCTGGCACTGTGCTAAAGGCTGGGAGTAGGAAGATGAATTAGATGTAAATCATGCCCTCACCAGGTCTGGTGCCAGCTGCCCATGGATCATTACAAAGCTGGCCAAGACCTGATCACCCTGCTCAGGAAGCCAGCAGTCTTCAAGAGGGGAAGAGACGTGCTCGAGTTGTTAAAGTGAAAGGTGAAGTTCATAGTGGCAGAGGAGAGGAAGCCACTCGGTGCTCAGGCTCAAGGGGGAGGCGATACCTGTGAGCGGCAGGTCAGATGGGGGAGGCTGAGGCAACCAGAGTGTAAGGTCCCAGGCGTGAGGCTGCGGGAGCTCTGTCCCCTGTCACTACCCCCTTGCTCCCGGCCAAGACTCTGCAAACACGACAGAAAGGCAGGAGCTGTCATGACATCTCAGGGGTCGCAACACCCTCTCTCCTGAGACTCAGCGAGGCTTTGTCTGCTGGATTCATTAGACACTCCTGACGCCTGTGAAGATGATGAGAATGGCAACCAGAGAGAGCGATCTAGAGCTCCTGGGCTCAGTTTTGCTTGATCGAGGGAACTGTTCTCTTTGCAGTCAAGAAATGCATCATTAACAGCTTATATTCGGGACTTCTGCTTCCAGCCAAGATGGAGTAACAGGGGCCAGATTTGTACTGCCCCCCAAACACCCAAAAAACATACCAAATCTACAAAAAAATGGTTTTCAAAGCAATGGACATCAGGCAACAAGAGGCAGTGATCCCTGAGAGCCGAGAACACAAAGGAGGTGAGTTCCACAGCCGCCCCAGCTTACTGCCTGGAGAGGCTTTCTACACAGCCGTCAGGGAAGGGAGATGCCAGCATGACCCAGCTGATTGGGTAAGTTGGGGAGATGGAGAGGGGAGTCCAGGGAGTGAACGAAACAGATGAGGTCTCCCCAAGGAAACTTCCAGAAGAGTGGAGGAAGCCCACAGCACACAGTAAATCCACCAACGAATATATAATTACACATCGTGGCAAGTGCTAGGAAAGAAATGGAAAAGAGGTCAAGATGCCCCCATATCTTGTGGAAAAATGTCTGGAAAAGAAGCATTTGGTGGGGGAGAGCTTCGGATGTGCCCATCTACGCGGGTATCGAGGAGGCCGAGCAGGCCAAGGAGGTTCCTGTGGGCTTGTGGACCCTCCGGCCGTCCAGTGCCAAGAGGACCTGTGGCAGATCAGGCAAGCCCCCGGCTCCTCTCAGCGATGAGTGCCTTCCCTATATTCCTCACGGGGTTTCCCTGACTATCACATGAGGCCACGTTCTTGAAGGTACCAGGAGTAGCAACCATTGTTTGCTGAGCACTGACTCCAACACACACGACTAGTCACAAGGGTGCCAAGCTCACATCTATCCCCGCTTTTGCAAGTGGGGAGACAGGCCACACAGCCAGGGGCCTGGCAGGACTTGAACCCAGGTGTGCCTGTGACAGCACTCATGGCCAACTCAACACACATTCACGTACGACCTGGGAACCTGCCACGTGCACCTCCTCGTCAGAGCCGCTGTGCACGGGAGATGTTTGACCGACAGGAGGGAACAGAGTGAGGGATGAATGAATCAGAAACAGCAAGTAGGGCAGAAACAGTCTCAGTTTGGCAAGATATCTTTCAGAGGTTCCTAGAAGAAGGGGTGATAGCCACGTTCTTTGTTTTAACATGATTTATCCATTGTGAGATGGAGGCTACGGATTTATCCACGGCTCGGCCTCTTGACCCTGTGTGTGGCCACCTGGAGAGGCCAGCCACTCGCTCACGTGGCTCCCCGTTCCTGGAGCGCAGCCTGAGTGCCAGGCACTGCTGGTGACACCGTGGGCGTGCAGGGGGCCTCTGGGGCATCTTCACACTTCTCTCATAACTTTCAAAGTCTTCGGTGACCCATGCCCAGGCTGCCTGAATGGTTTCCTGACGGACCCCCAGGAGCTGCACCCGCGGCGACTTAATTGGCCTTAATCACTGTCAGGTGAGGAGGGGTCGCCCGCAGTTGCCCGCTCTGCTTCTTGCTTCTCGCGGCCCAGTTCCCGCCCATCAGGCGGACCACAACCACGCAGCGCAGGCTTGTCGAGGGCCCCCTGAGCTGTCAAGACCGGTCTGCTTCAAGGGGCTGATGTCCGTGAATGGCTTCCCAAACCACATTCAGCCTTTGCTGCGGAGGCTGCAGTCAGAAGCGAGCCTGGGCTTTGGGACATGGCCTGGGGCTCGCATCTCAGGCACGGCGCCGGGCTGGGAGCAAGGGCGGAGGGGGTCACACGGCCACCTTAGACTGTCCTCCAAGGGACAGTCTCAGGGCATAGTTGGCCCTTAGGGTATGTGGGTCCCTGGCTGTACCACTCCCTCCCGCCCACATGAAGGGTCTTGAGGACGCTGGCCAGCACGTCTAGGAAGAGGACACTCACATGGGACTCAGGGCACATGGTAAGTGACGAAGTGTTTCAGAGGATTGAAGAGCATTTACAAGCATGTCTACTCTTGTCTTGTCCTAGCCTGCTCACCTCAAATACCCGTCGGTTTTATGTGGCTCACAAGGACGGCGAGGGGTCCAGGAGCTCTGCTAACACACTTGTGTGGTGGCAGAAGCTGTTTCACAGACTGTTTAGACAAAAGAGGAGACTAAGGCTCGGAGGAGGGGAGGAGCCTGCCCGAGGTCACACTGGGAGCACAGCCTGGTCCTCACGTCTCTCCGTCCTGCCCCAAAGTACCACGAAGGACACGGGTTCTCAGAAGTCCCTTCATGGGCTGATGGCCCTTTCCCTTTCACTGCCTCCGTGTCCCC